TTGAACTATTGTTAATAGTATAAATAACTTTACTTTAAAAAAAAAAATGATGAAAAAAATATCATAATAATTAAAAAAAAAAAAAAAATCTTTGAAGAGATTGAGAAAAAAATGGTGGAACCCATTTGTTACTTGAACGCTCGGGATGGTAAGTGTTTAGGGTGGGGTTTGAATTTGAAACCCAATTCCACCAAGATTCAAACTCATGCCCCCAAACAGATCAGGGTTGATCTCACCGACATTGTTTTGCATCAAAAGCATGACAATTTATGATATAATCGAATGCCTGTTTTCAACTTTTGTAACGCAACACAGAGAACACAGCAAGAAAAGACAATTGCTCAAACTATACTCAAAACTCAGATACACAATCATCATATATGGATTTGACCCATTAAAAATTGGCTTTTAAGAAGAAGAAGAAAACACACAAATTCTCTCTATTTAGAAGTACACAATTAAAACCAAAGAGAGAGAGAGATGAGATTGATGATTAAATTTATGATTCATGAAGAGGGTTGCACATTAAAAACTTACAAACTGTCTCAAACCATCAAATTCCCTCTTGTTTTACGTAAGGAGATTTAGGGAAATTTGAAGTAACCCTAGAATTGATTGAAAAAGCATATTTAAGAGCATTAATTAGAAGGAAAAGGGCAATTAAAGAAGAAGGGTACCCTCTAATTGGCTTCTTGATTATAAAGTTTGAATTTTTTTTATGCTTTTTATGGGATTTAAGCTCCTGTGGGAGGTGGAAGGATTTGTTGTTGAGGGCGCTTTCGTTTCTTCTTCTCATAGCTAATTCCTCTTGCTTTAGACTGCACATCACGAACCTCTCGAAGATAAAGCCTAATAGCACGGGCACCAAAAGGGTTAGCTTCGGGCATCCCACCGTTCTCTTCAAAGGCTGCACGAAGGCGGCCAATAAGAGCATCCAGGCTGCCCCATGCTTGGCGTAGAGGGCAGGGACATGGGGCTGGAGGGTTGGGATGGCCGTAGAAAGGGCAGATCGGAGTGTGGACTTTGGTCTTACCAAATTGGTCCAAATACCGAAGGAATTCAAGAACATGAGCTCCACTACACCTTGAAAGGGCAAGAGGGGGTCGGTGATTTTTCAGGTATTGGCAAAATGTGTTCCAATCTCGCCGTTTTTGATTCTCATAGCGGCTGTTTGAAGACGAAGAAGAAGAAGAAGAAGAAGAAGAGGACGAAGACCCACCACCTAAATTTGGAACACTGGAGGCTCCAAATTGTTGGGCGTTGAGGCCTTCAAATTCAGTGATGGAATCCATTTGGTTTATGGGAAATATGGAAGTAGCTTGAAGGGAGGAACTAGGGTTTCTTTTTTTGTTGTTCCATGAGGGATGTGGAACTAAATATTGAAGTGAGGGAGAGAGAGAGAGAGAGATTGATGAACTAAATGAGCTCGAGTTTATTATCTTCGATGTGGGTGTCAGGACAAAAAGAAAAAAGAAAAAAAAAAATCTAAGACATAAGATTTGATTGGTTTATTAAATTTGCAATCTTGAAGTGTGTGTAAGAGCCTAAGAAGGGAGAGAGAAAATGAATTATTATTATTATTATTATTATTATTATTATTATTATTATTATTATTATTATTATTTGATGAGATGGATGATGGGAAATGAGAAGAGTTGAGGTTCTTGGGGTTTGGTTACATTGTTTTGAGCCATAAACAAGCAATCCCAGAAAGAACTGCTGCACTGCTCATTCTTGTCCCCCTTTTGTTTTGGTCTCTAAATATGTGTTATCTTTTACTTTGTAACCCCAAAAAGAAGTTGAAGGGAAATTTAATTGAATCAAGTGTAAGGCCATGGGGGCGTTGAGAAGAAGAAGGAGAGGAGTGGAGCCGAGGCCTAGTCTTGGGGCCTCTCTGTTGGGAACTCGAAGGGCATGCATGGGGTAACATGGCTACCTTCTACGCACGACATGTTTCAACTTAACAACCAAACAAAACAAAAAGAAACAAGTAAAAGATGAACTGACACAACACAGTGTGAGAGTAGCCACATATACCTTTCCAAAATTATGCCAATTTTATACCAACAAAACATCATGTTTTTGGTTCTCAGCGAAATGGAATTGATTCCTTCGCGATTCTGTGTTCTAAAAGGATTCTTTCATACGTCAAAACATTTCCCAAGTTTGGATCTTTGTGAAAAAAAAAACTTTAAATAAATAAATAAATAATCTCCTTTCTTTTTTATGGACCTGCCATTATTGGGCCTGGGCCAAGCCCAACAATTTACGATAAAATTTTGAACTTTATCAAATTCAGCCTTGGATTAATATATATATATATACAAAATTACAAGAATGGGATCAAACAAAAGAATTTTTTTTTTTTTTTTTTTTTTTTTTTTTTTTTTTTTTTTTTTTTTTTTTTTTTTTTTTTTTT